TGAATGATGGAATAGTGTAATTTACTTCTGTACGTCAGTTCGGTCTTACTGTATTTCAGTGGGCGGCTTTTAAAAGTTAAAACTGCAAGCGTACTACACACAAATAACGTAACACTGTGTCGTATTTACTTAACGTAGGGCAGTTGCGCTATATCCTAGGGGAGGGCATAATTATTAATTAATAGGCATTATAGGCCTGAGGAAATTGTGCGCCCCTTCACACCTGCGCCCGGAGGCGACTGCCACCCTCTTTCTACGCCACTGGATACAGTACTGAAACGATAATTATGAAGAAAGGTTACTTCAGCTGTTCAGACATACCACGTTTAGAAAGGTGAACACTTCTCTCTTATTTTATTTACACAAAATGTGCACAGTTGTACACTCTGGTGCACGTGTTAACCGTAATAGCGTGCAGCTTTGTATCGTGTTCTCGGTTCACCTTCTTCTAGTGTTGGACAAACAATGATAACATTGAATTGTTTCGTTTGTCTTTTGCTAGAATGGTTGTGTTTGTTTGGGTTGTTAAAAAAAAGTGTCTTACTAGCAAGTGATGTAACTCAGCTCCGTTAGTAAAGCACTTGTCTGGCGTCTAGGAGATCTAGCGTTTGACTCTGAACTGAGGAAAAAAAATACTATCTCATGATTGGAGCTATGGGCTTATGTAAGAGTTGTTCTTGAAACTGTAAAATGTCATAGAAAATAAAATATGTTTAGATTTTCAAAATTTTCATACTGGTACCTCCTAATCAAGGATTACGTGGCTTTGGGGGGGGGGGGGGTCTTTGGATCGGCTATATAGACTTAGTTGGAAATTATTGCCCAAAACATCTGTGGTGTGCAGTTATTCAGGTGAACATTTCATACTCATCAAGATTTTTCAAACTTATATGCATATACACATTTATGTACTTTTACAAATATGATGTTAGTCAACGAATTTCCTTTTGAAGGGGTTCCTCGAGATACCACATGTTAATTTTGTTTATCATTGAGTATTTTGTTGTTCTGGAGATAAAAACAGAACATAATGTTTTTTTTATAATACTTTAGCGTTATTAAATGCTATTAAACCTTTCATCAGGCCCGGCATGGCCAGGTGGTTAGGGCGCTCGACTCGTAATCTGAGGGTCGCGGGTTCGAATGCCCGTCACACCAAACATGCCAACCTCCGCCTTTGCCTGGTACCAAGTCCAGGATAAGAAAGGAGGAGGGTTGGGCGCGGGGCTAGCAACTCTACCTCGTAAAAACCAACCTGCTACAAGTAACTGCAACAACACCTTCCGTTGGCGAGGTGTTGTTGCGGCCCTATGCTCCACTGGG